ACATAGTGTTATTTTTCATTTTGTTTCTGTAACAATACCAGAGAACAGGCAGTTTATAAAGAAAATAGGTTCATTCTGGCTCATGATCCTGGATGTAAAAATGCAAGGTACCTGCTTGGTTTCTGGTGAGCACCTCATGACAGAAACATGGCAGCTGGCACTCCATGGTGGAACAATGAGAATGGCCAGCCAATGGGTGCCTATGGAAAAGAGGAGGGGACAACGGGGACCAGACACTGTATAACAACTCACTCCCATGAGAACTCATTTTCCAGAGAAATAATCCAGTCTTAATGAGAAAATCTTTGATACCTCTTAAAGGCCCCATCTAAAACACTACATTGGCAAGAAAATTTCAACATGAGATTTGGTGAAGACAAACCACAAGTAAACCATAACTTATAGAAGTAAAAGATTCAATTTTTTGTGTGCTTTTGTGTACTAACATCTTTTTGAAAGCCTGGTGCTTTAATTCCTTAAAAGTGTTATGGATGGGCCGGGGATTCAGCTCAGTGGTTCTGTTGCCTGCCTAGCAAGCACAAGGTCCGAAGTTCAATCCCTGGTTCCAAAAAAAAAAAAAAAAAGTGTTATGAATAGGCTGGGGATGTAGCTCAGTAGTGAAGCTCTTGCCTAGTACATGCAATATACTGGGTTCAACTTGGTGTACCGCACAAATGTTTCAGATTTAGGGAGGCATAATTTTTTCTATGTGTACATAGTTGTTGACAGAACTATGGGACTAGTGTAGAATTCAGAAAGCAATCCTAACATAATTCTTTGATTTAATCTTAGCCAATCAAAACTGTGGAAACCTCACAAGTACAAGGTCCTGAGTTCAATCCCCAGTACCACCAACAAACAAACAACAAAACAAAGAAACTGTGGAAACATTTAGTATTACTGACAAACTTGAACAGAAACAGTGATAAAAATTCTATGCCACAACAGAGCTGCGGTTATATCTCAGTGGTAGAGTGCTTGCCTAGTATGTATGAGGCCCTGGGTTTGATCCCTAGCTCCACACACACTCACATACCCTATTCCACAATTTTAGGATATCAATACTGATTTGTGTTTTGGGGGGGTTTTTTTCTTCAATTTTTTGGTGCTGAGAACTGAACCCAGGGCCCCATGCCTTTTAGACAAGCATTCTACCACTGAGCTAAATCCCCAGCCCCTGATTTCTGTTTTTGAATAGGGCAATCATTCAGTACAGAAATAATGTTACAAGGAAAGGAAAAGATTTAGAAGATGAAATAATAAAGGTTTCAGATCTACATAAACTTTGTATCTCAGGTTTATCTCCCATCCAAGTACTAACCAGGCCCGACCCTTGTTAGCTTCCAAGATCAGATGAGATTGGGCACGTTGAGGATGGTTTGGCCACAGACATGGTTTACAATTTTTTTCACTTTGCCAAGTTTCTTAACCTGAGTCTGTTTAGTCATCTTGAAAATGGAAGGACCTTGTTAGAACATTGCTGTTTATCTTACATTATTTTCAAAAGGTATTATAACCACCAATTATATATAAAACATTCCTGACCTCCTAATAATTATTACCATATTGGAAGATGGTCACAAGTTACCTTCCCAATACAACTATTACACTATATATCTAGAACTGCTTGCAAACACTTATATTATTTTCATTAAGTTAAGAAGCCTCAAAATAACTTCAACTTTTCATCAGTAAATATGGATGACAGTTACCACCACACAGGACACTGATGAATATTCAACAAGCCCATTGTGTAAAGGACTAGAGCAGCATCAGGATAAATTAAGTGCTCAACCTATGTGCCCCCTGGCTTCCAGGACAGCCTTTCTCGGTTCCTCTTCTACTCTGTTAACTCCTTAGTTTCTTTTGTTGTGCATAAAAAAAGCTTTCGAGCCCTGCACCTGACACCAATCAGGGAATGCTATCTTCAAATCTTCTCGTATGAGAGCAAGCTGAGCCCTTAACCTGATACCAATCTTCTGGCACGAGATCAGGTGGTTTTTTGATGGGAGGGCTTAGATCTGACATGGGGGGGGCATAAATCTCATTGCTACTGTGAGCCTGTTGACCATCCCACCCACCACACTCTGCAGGGCATGCTTCTTTTCCTACTCTAACTGGCCCACACGCACCATGCAGACTACTTCTTTGTAGAGCACTGAGGCTGGAAAGTGTTGCTATAGGGGAGGCATGACAGTACCTCCGGTAAAAGTTTCATACTACATAGTAAAACTGAAGCTCTATACCCGATTCCCTTTACCACTGACAGGCATCTGACAAAAATGCACACATGTACCAAGAGACTCAGATAATGCTCAAGCCAGTATTGTCTGTAACAGAAAAAAATCTGATACACAATAATATAAAACAAAGCTTTTATAACAAAACGGATCAATCTCCCAAACTTTATAAAAATGAAGACAAAATAATATACATAGTATAAGTCTGTTCATATAAATTTCAAAACCAATGCTTTAAACAGTTCAGCATATAAAATACCCATCTATAGAGCTATAAAGAAAACATGACAAAAATGCTAACAACTGGAATTGAGGTGAAGAGCATGAAAAGGTTCATTTTACTTCGTTGCTTTCCTTCAGGTTTGAGATTTTTCAAAATAAAGGAATAGGAAAGGATTAAAAATCGGCCAAAGCAAATGGATACTGTTTTGGAGTAGTTGGGATACTAAAAGATAAAGAAAATAATCGTCAAAATTTGGCACAGGGCAGACTAGGGAAGAAGAGCGAAACAGTGATGATGGAGAGCCTCACAGGGAGCTTCTGGTGGCGGTTTCTTCCTCCACGTGTACGTGTTATGCATTTCCTTTATAATTACTTATTAAACTATCCATATAAATTCTATGCATTTTGGATGTATATTTCACAAGAGGATAAACGCAAAACCTGAGAAAAATTGCTATACATTTGATAAACATTATTTTTAAAGAATAAACTTTTTGCTTTGTAAGAAATAAACATTAAGGGGGCTTTGGCCAAGTGGATCATTTTGTATTTGAGGATCAATCACTAAAAGTTACTTTCCATGGACTAATATTTTAAGGCTAATTAAAATCATGTTTCTTAATTTTACATAGTTTTTGTATTTTTTTTGGAGATAGGGTCTTGCTGTGTAGTTCAGGCTGGCCTTGAACTCACTATGTAGCCCAGGCTGGCTTTGAACTTGTAGCAATCCTTCTGCCTCAGCCTCCCGAGTGCTGGGATTACAGGCATGTGCCATCACACTTGGCTTAGACAGTTCTTATACAAGGACGAATTCTGAATCTTATCTTCTAAGTAATTCCCATGAACTGCAGCATGACACCATGATTTTATCTGCTTTTTGGCAGGTAACCTAGTATATGCAACTTAAAATTTTAAGACAATTCTAGATAAAAGTTTTACAATTATGTAAATATCATGCCTAATTCATATTGTTCATTTGTGACTTTTGCCTATTTTCTATAGCTTTTTCTGACTTCCTCATTGAGATTTAACAGTATTTTTGTGTGACACTGTTAAAGGCAAAAAGTGATCAGAATTTCACATTCCTAGACTGACTTTTAGTATATGTGCTGCTGAAGCGAGCAACCTAGACTGACTTTTAATGTACATTAATCCGCTTGATTTTCACCTGTGTCATCTAAATCATTATCAAAATCTAAGTCATCATCACTTTCTTCATTCCTTTTGCAGCTTCTTCTATGATTGGATCTTTGATTATTTTCAGCATTTTCTGGTTCTTTATTAAACCTAAAGATTAAAGAAAAAAATTCTGATTATTTTCCAGGCTTTTACTATTTAACCACATAGGTTGAAAAGACCTTTACTATTCTATTTCTTTTTTCTTTTTGGGCTGTGTGTGTGTGTGTGTGCAGGTATCGGGGGAGTACTGAACCCAAGGGCTTTATCCTGAGCTATATCCTCAGCTCTTTTATTTTTAATTGTGAGACAGGATCTCAGTGTAGGAACCAGCCTACGAGCTCGAATTTGACCAAGGGATGACGAAGATGAAAAGTAGAGACACAGACACAGGTTAAAATTTGGGGTGCCAGGGGGCTCATGTTTCCCTTAGACATAGAGCCCCAAGTAACTGGCACACCTTGGCTTTATTCAGACACAGGCACGAGCAATTAGAGTTCCACAGGATTCATCTGTCTCCCTCCCTCCATGGTACTTGTCCAAGTAAACAACATAATCTCAGGTGTTTTTACTTTTCCCTACAAGTGTGTCAGCACCTTGCATGCCCTCTTTCTTCTTAGTGCCCACCGAGGGGCCAATTATGCCTCAGTCTTCCCATCTGTTCTCCCACAGCTCCTAAGTTGGCCTGACTGGGCTTGAACTTTTGACCCTCTTGCCTCAGCCTTCGAGAGTGCTAGGATTACAGGTGTGTGCTACCATGCTCAGCTTTACTACTGCATTAATGAGCAGGGGCCAGATGAAATAAGCACAAAGAAAAAGATCCTTCAAAATTAACTAAATTCAAGATTCTACTAATTAAAATATTAAAGGAGACTCAGGGCCAGGGATGTAGCTCAGTGGCCCTGTGCCTGCCTGGCAAGTGCAAGGTCCTGAGCTCGATGGAGGTGGGGTGGGGGCGGTGACGACACACAATGGAGGACAGATGTCCATTAAGGGAAAGTTGCTATATAACATTTAATTCTTTTGTAATGAATGTGAACCTCAAAGCTAAATTTTTTTTTTCCAGTACCAGGGATCACACTCAGGACCTTGTGCTTACAATGCCAAGGCAGGTGTGTTCCCACTAAGCTAAATCCCTGGCCCTATAGCTAAATATCTGACATTCTTAAATACATAGTGTTACTTTTATTGTAATACAGAAACATTTAACAAAATTATGACTTTCTCCCTATCAGTGGGAAAAAAAGCCTAAATTAGTGTGATATACTACAACTTCAGACTGAGTTACTGTATTTCTCATTAAAAGAAAGTGCATATGTCAATTATTAAGAGTAAACTCTGAATGTAAAAGGAAATACTCACGGAATAACAATATCTTCTTTCTTTCCACATTTTGCACAGACTTCAAGTTCATAGGCACATGGTCTACACATTATGTGGTAAGACTCCTTCACGGTCTTCTGCAAACATTTAACGCTAAGAGTAGAAGAAAAATCATTTAAAGATTTGATAAAATAGGGGAATGTGTCTAAATGTATAGATGAAAAACCTAAAAATCAAAACTCCTAGATTTTGAACTTAGGTATTTATCTCATGTTACTTTCTAGATGACAATTTGCAGCTACAAAATCATAATTCTTGGTATTCATCTCATTTATTAAAGCTCTTTTTTTTGTTTTTTTGAGATAGGGTCTCACTTTGTAGTGCAGGCTGGCCTTCAACTTGCTGCAATCCTCCTGCCTCAGCCTCCCGAATGCTGGGATTACAGGTGTGAGCTACCATGCCTGGCTAATTTCTTAAAGCTTTTTTTTTTTGAATAATAAGCATCCCTTTATTCTCTGACTGCTATTACAAAAACTGATTACATTAGCAACAAAAGTGTCTTGAGTTGATGTGAGAGGCAGTTACTCCCCCAAAGTGTTAAGTAAAACTGTACAACATCAGTATTAAAATGTTAAAATTTACACTGTCTTTATCACTTTGATCTTCTGAACTGAATTGAGCAAAATAAGGTAAAATACTACACGTTTATCTTCAGAAATGTAAAGGTCTAATTATTCAAACAGTTTTTATTATAAAACTAAACTCTGAAGGTGTCTACAAAATTGGCTTTTAAAATTTCTCTTTAAATCAGTAGTCTAACAAGGATTAGAAAAGACAAAACTCTGTTCAGTGTTTCTGACAAAGTAGAGAGGGTGAAAACATAAATAAGGCTTTAATTTGGCAAAATATAATACAATGCCTTCTGTTGTCCTCAACTGAAGTTTCCCAGTTACTTCACTCCAAACCTGGTAGTGTTATTTCTCCTTTGAGAGCTGTTTGTTTACAGCCTGAAGCAATTGCTGTAACTGTGCTATAGTCTGATTTAGACTTACAGACATCGTCTCCTTTTCAGAAGGCTCCATTTCTGGGGAAACATCACCATTCTCTATAACAGTAGTACCTCCAGCAGCTTGTACTATTTTTGACTGGATAAGATCCAGTGACTGTTGCGCCTTATCCAAATCACCAGCTACCTCTGTCTTTCACTTTGTTCAGTTTTAAGTTTTGTGAGTGTTTCATTTAACTGTGTCTTCAACTCTCTCACTTTTGTAACCTAAATAGATTGTTCAATTTCTGCCTTCTGTAGTTCATTTCCAAATGCTCTCATTCTCATCTCAGATTTTCAGTATCTTTATTTTCTCTTCTTAATTGCTCTATTGCTCTGAAGATGTAACTGATGACAGCATCTGCTTAATTGTCTTTTGTAATTCATGGACCTTAATTTTTCATATATTTCCCTCTTCCTCCACACTTTTCTGTAGCTTCTCTAAAATTCCTTCTGTTTCTGCAAGGACTGATTTATACATATCACGCTGTGTTTCATCAGCTTCTTTCAACTTATACTCTAAAACCTTAACTCTTCTGAACATGAAGTTCCAGCTATGCATTCTTTTGCTTTCTTTTCAAATCCATGCAACCATTCACTGTAACTCAAATTAGAAGGGACAGACACCTTTGAAAATAATTTTTTAAGAACTTCTTTAGCCTCCAATTCAACAGCTTCCACATACTGTCTTTCATTGTTTTTCTTCCTCTGATCAACAGCATCCTTCAAAGAATCTAATTCATTCTGGAGACCAGTTATTTCTTTCTCTTTCTGAAATTACTTTTAATAATTCTTCTTGAGAAGCAAAAGATGCCTCTTGGTAATTCTGTTGCTTAAACTGCTCAATCTGGGATTTAAATAATTTGTTTTCATCTTGCACCTCCTGTAACAGCTTTGTTTTGCTAGAAAGATCACTCTCCCTCTCTTTTAGCATAGCTTCTACTATCTTCATTTTCTTTCAACACAATTTCAAGTTCTTCAAATTGTGATGCAGAATGTGACTCTTGTAAGTCATGTCATGCTTCTTGAACATGAGCCTTTAAAGATTCATTTTCTTCTTGGAGATCCTGTAGCCACTTCCCTCTATTGGCTAGGTCTTTCTCCTCTCCTAAAACAGCCTTCGTGGTATTCATCTGTTCCTCCTTTCCTTTTACTAAGTTCTGAAGCTCCTGAACTTGAGAAGTGATAGATAACTGTTGAGCCCAAGCAGGACATTTCCTATTTCTTCTTTTAGAGCCTCTATTTCCTGTTTGAAATCCTGAACAGTTTTCTCCTTATTAGCAACTTTGAGAAGTTCAACTTCCAGAAGTTCTTCTATAGATTTGATCTTTCCATCTTTCTCATTGATCACTTTCTTAAGTTCTTCAACCAGAGAAGCAAAAGAAACCTGATCATTTTGCTTAGCCTTTAAGTCTTGAACTTCTTTTCTCAGAGATGAATTTTCTGTTCTTACTGCATTCAGTTCCTCCTCTCCGTTGGCCACCTGAGTAAGTCCAGTTTCAAGAAATTCTTCTACAGTCTTTAACTTCTCATCTTTTTCTTGAATGCATTTTTCCATTTGTTCCACAACATCTTTATTGGGGTGTTCAGAAAGAAGAGTCTGCAAGTCTTTGAATTTCTAATTTTAATGCTTTGTTTTGGTCATTTAGAATCTTAAATTCTTCCATTTTGTTTGACAATTCACATGGTTACTTATGTTCAAGCAATCTTACTTTATCATCCTTAACATGACTACTTTTTTGTGTCTTCTCCAATTCATGTGCTGCAGCAGCCTTCTCATTTGCCAGAGCCTGTAATTTTTGCACTTCAGCTTTTAATAAATTCATATTCTGTATATCCTTAAGTTCGTCCTCTTTACTAGTTAAATGATCAGGTTCATTTGCTAGGAAATCTTCAGTTTGTTTTATCTGCTTATCCTTTTCTGCAATCACTTTATGTAATTCTTCTGCTAGAACTGAAGCGGAGGTCTGGGCAGCTAGCTATCTGGGAATGATACTGCTGAATCTGTGCTTTCAAGGCCTCATTCTGCTCCAAAATAACCTGAACTTGCATTTGTAGAGACTTTTCTTTGTTCACACTTTTTTGCTCTGATTCAATTAACTGCATTAATCTTTGCTTCAACTGTTGTTTTGATACCAAGGTATCTGTAAGTTTACTATGTAGGCTCTGTACTTCATTTTTTTTGGCCACAAATTTACTCTGTAATTCTGAGGCTGAAGAAGGCACTGCGGTGGCAGCACAGGAAACGAACCCAGCAGCTTGAGCTCCCCCACCCCAGCCGGAAACGGAGCGTGGGGCAGGGCGCCTCTTAAAGCTTTTTAATTGTCATTAAAACATGTCAAAACAAGATTAACAGACTGAAATCAACTGTTTTTCTGTACACTAGCAACAAATAAGCTAAAAAAGAATAAAATACCTAGCAATAAGTTTAACAAAAAAGTGTAAGACCAGTGTGCTAAACATCACTATGAAACATCACTGAAAGAAATTAAATACCAGCCACATGGAAAGATACCTCATGTTTCTGCTCTGGAACATTTAATACTGCTAAGACGGCAATACTCCCCAAGCCTACCCATGGATTCAGTGCAATCTCTTCTGCAATTCCAGCTGGCTTTTTCTGCCCCCAGAAATTGGTGGAATAACCCTAGAGTTTGTACAACCATACCTTGTTTTATTGTGCTTCATTTTATTGTACATGACAGATACTGTTTTGTTTTTTTTTTGGTACCAGGGATCGAACTCAGGACCTTGCGCTTGCAAGGCAGGCGGCAGCCCCACTGAGCTAAATCCCAGGCCCACACAGATAGTTTTTGACAAACCGAAGGACTGTGGCAGCCCTGGATCAAGAAGTCCATCAGTGCTTGTTTTCCAATACCAAGTGCTCACTTCATGTCTCCCTGTCACCTTTTGGTAATTCTCACAATATTTCAAAGTTTTTCATTATTCCTCTATCAGTTCTGGTGATCTCTGATGTTAGTTACTACTACCATTGTTTCGCAGTGCCATGAACTGTGCCCATACAGAGCAGCAAACTTCATTGGTAAATGTTATGTCTGTTCTGACTGCTCTACTGCCCAGCTGTTTCCTGTCTCTCTCCTTTTGTCAGGCCTCCCAATTCCCTAGGATACAATATTACCGAAATAAGGGCAATTAATAACCCTACAATGGCATCTAAGTGTTCAGATGAAAGGAAAAGTTACGGATCTCTCACTTTAAATAAAAACTAGAAATGATTAAACTTAGCAAGGAAAGCATGTCAAAAGCTGGGATTGAATGAAATCCAATCAAAAGTCTAAGTTGGGAAGGAACAGTTCTTAAAGAAAATTAAAACTGCTACTCCAGGGAATGACTGGAAAGGAAAACAGCCTTCTTGCTGTAAAGGAGAGAAGATCAAATCAGTCATAACACTGCCAAGGCCTTCACCAGAGCAAGTCCCTAACTTGCTTCAGTTCTATGAAGGCTGAGAAGGGCGAGGAAGATGCAGAAGCAAAGTGTGAGGCTAACAGAGGTTGGCTCCTGAAATTAAACAGAGAAGCTGTCTCCATAGCATCAAAGTGCAAGGTGGAGCAGCCCGTGCTGCCGAAGAAGCTGCAGCATTACGAAAAGGCTCTTCCTAAGATAACTGATGAAGGCATCTACACTATCCACCACATGTCGGAAGAAGATGCCATCTAGAACTTTCACAGCTAGAGAGCAGAAGTCAGTGCCTGTGTTCAAAGCTTCAAAGGACAGGCTGACTCTTCCAGTAGGGCTAATGTAGCTGGTGACTTTAAGTTGAAGTCAATGTCATTTACCATTCGCAAAATCCTAGATCCCTAAGAATCAAACTAAATCTACTCTTCCTATGCTAAGTGGAACAAGACCTGGATAAGACTTGTATTTTAGTTTAGTACAAAGTGAGATATCCAATTTCCCCAGCACCATTTATTAAAGAGGCTATTTTTCTTCCAGTGTATGTTTTTGAACCCTTTGTTAAAGATCAAATAACTATATGTGTCCGGGGTTGTTTCTGCTTTTTCTATTCTGTTCCACATGCCTGTTTTAGTGCCAGTACCATCTTGCTTTATCACGGTAGCTTTATAGAATAATATTAAGTTAGAGACTG